CCTCCCCCCGAGTTTCTTTAGACATACGCTGCTGCACTCTTAATAGGCCCCAATACCATGTAAACACAATTTTACATGTACTAAGAAAAGTTTGTGTGACACGCTTGATTGCAGTGGTCTGGAAGCGAACCCGCAGTATCTCTGAGGTTCGCCTGTAAAGGCAGCGAGGAGGGAAGGAAGAAAGGAGAGGGGGAAGAAACACAGCATCTGCAGAGATGCTGCTTAGCTGGCCTGCTTCCCATGCCAGCATTTAATAGCGGTGAGCTTACAGCGGCCACTTGGCATCGAAGACAGGAAGGTCTTCCATGCGCTCCAGCTGGGCTCACGCTGCCAGCCACTCGCCAGCGGAGTGTGGGGCTGTGTGCGCTAAACCCCAAAAGCGCCAAGATGCCCAGGCTGGATTTCAAGCAACCGCGTTCACAACGCACACGCGACTCTCCCGCATCCGTCTCCGGGGAAGCGCGCTCCCTGGGCTGTGTGTGGGGCAGGTGGCCGCGCTGCGTCTGGCGGCTGTGCGTGTACGCGGCAGGCTCGCTGTCATCAGGGCGGAACATCTGGGCAGCTCCCTCCTCCGCGCCCAGCCACACGCAAGGCAGCGCACAGGCTATGTGGCAGCTGGGGTTCAGTTCAAGAAGCCGCTGGTCTGGAGCCAATTTGGTCCCATAACAAATGACACGGGAACATCTGGAGATGTGGCTGGAGACAACTGGGCTGGGTCCCTCACGGCGGGAGCACACGGATCGCATTTGGTCACCGCACGGAAATAGATGCTACTGGGCCTCCGCGGCCACTGGCGAAGACCCTGCCTCGGGCTCTCCCGGGCTACTCCAGGGGACGGAGCCCCGCCTCCACCCGACTGCAGCAGCAGCTCACCCAGGCTCAGACTCTGCTAAAAGCCTGCAGGGGCTCCCGGCAGCACCCCCCGCCCCCACCACACTTGAAGCCCTGAGTGCCGGGCCCTCCAGTCTCTCTCTCTGCTCTGGAGGAGTGCGCTCCAGCCACATGGGGCTCTCACTGCCCCAGAACGCACCACTGTCCTGCGCACGCCCCCACAGCGTGCCTGGCACACCGTCTGCCTGCCTTGACGACCTGGCCAAACCCTGCACACCTCCAAGACTCAACACAGGAAAAAACTACCCTGCAAGGTACTGCTCGGCCCCCAGCACCCCCTCCCCAAGCTGGGTTAGGTGGCCCTTCTGGGTGCCCTGACGCCGCGTGGCATCTTCCATCAGGGTGAATGTGACTGCTGGCTGTCTGGTCAGTCTCCCCCACCAGCTGAGCAGCTTAAGCTCCTCCTCTATCCCAGCACCTGGCCTGGGGCCGGGCACATAGTGATCACTCTAAATACTGGAAAGGGGGACAAAGGGAGGGAGGGAGGGATCGATGGAGGGAAAGAGAGAGGGAGGGAGGGAGGAAAAGAGGGAGGGCACTCAGGATTAAGAGCATAGCCCTGACTCTGACCTGCATCCATGCTGTGGTTCATCTGGTGGTCACTGGTCTCTCCATCTTCACTCAGGTAGCCCGGGGGTGGGGTTTCTGGGAATCGGAAGGAAAGTGGTTCATTAAATGGCCTCCATGATTTGGCTCTAGAGACACCTTCTGCTAACCCGTCCCACACTCTCACCACTATGCCAGGAGCAGGTGCTGGGCCTCAGAGCCTGGGCCCCGCTGTCCTCGCATCCCTCAACCTCCCCGCTGCTTCCCGCCCGGATCGGATCATTGCCGCCTTTGTCCACATGGTCCCAACTCACAAGTCTGTAAACGCCTGTTCCTGGAGCCTCTGCCAGGCTCAACTTCTCCGCATCCTTCCAGGCCAGGTTTGAGCTCCCCTCTCCAGGGAGGCTGTGGACTCAGCCCAGCCTCCCTCATCTCTGCTCTCTGAAGGGTGCCAGCCTCAAACGGCCCTTTGGCTCTGCTGCCTGCTCCCGTGCAAATGCACATGTCTCTCCATGGGATATCTTAGCTTCCCAACTGGGACGCCAAGTCCCATGACAGCAGAGACGGTGGCTCGATTTCTCTGAATGACCCCCAGACCCTGACATAGCTCTCCTAAGCTTTGCTGAATGAGCAGTGGGGGGCAACCCTCCCCTAGGGGCCAGCACCGCCTGTGAAGGATGAAAGGCTGCATCTGTAAAGCGGGTCTCTCATTAATGCTCTGACCCCCACCCGCAGGCCTGTGGTCAACCTCAGCACAGTGAGCTCGCCCAGGGTGCAGGGCTCATCCCCACCAGACGGCTCCGAGAGGAACGCGGGCATCACCGCCGCAGTCACAGTCCCTGCGCTGGGACTGGCCAATTGGTTTTCCTGGACGCCCAGAGTGCTGGTGATTCACACTTTATTTGCATGTAAATGAGGGGCTTCTAAAAACAACTGCGCTCTGACAGTGGAGCCCACTTCTCCCCGTGGCTGAATGCCTCCCACCCAGGTTTTGAGCCCCCCCAGGCTTACTTACAAGGCCAGATCTCTGCGCGCGGCCCAGCCCCACTGCCTCTGCAGGCCCCCGGGCCATCGGGGATCCTGCCTGAACTCCAGCCCCAGCCGCGAGGGCGGTGAGAGAAACACAGCGTTGCTATTTCCGCTTCCAAAATAAATGACTGCACCGAGGCCGGGCGGAAGGGTCACGCCGCCGCTCCCCCGTGCCAAGAAAAGCATCATTAGTGAGCGGGGAGCCAAGGCCATGGGTCCTCTCCCAACAGGGATGCGGTTCTGAGTCAGGGGCCTCGGGCCAGCGTGTGTGCAGAGACGGGGTGACGGGGGACGGAGCCCGGGGCTGCGCGGCACCTCACTGCCCCGGGGGCGTACCTGGAATATTGCTCTGGGGCTCGATGCCCGCGGGGAAGTTAGTGTTTTCAGGGATGGAATGGCTGTAGTCGTCCAGCGGGGGGAACTCGGCCGGGATCTCTGTGTGGCGTGGCACCAACACGGGAGGTAGAACTGTCCGGAGGACACAGAGCAGAGGGATAAGCGCTGATGGCGGGCTGGCACCAGAGCCCCTGCACCCCCAGATGTACTGGGGGCTCTCTGTCAGGAAGAGGAGGGGGAAGAGGGGAAGGGATGGGGTGGGGGGTAGTGAGGAGAGGGAAGAGGGGGAGGGGATGGGAAGGGGGAGGGGGAGGAGGAGGGGGAAGGGGA